GTTTGTCGTTCGTCTTTTTGGCTCGTATTCGTTTGGCCCTTTCAACGAGCATTTTACACTTATACCATTGTTTTCCGTGTTCATTATTTTTTCACTTTTCTTTGTCTTTCAGCGATAATTTGTCTAACACTGTTTCCAATTCATCGCAATCATTAACGTCTCCCGAAAATCCGTATTTCTTTTTCCACTTTTTCACGAATCGTGCTGACCCTCTGTAGTCAATTTCAGCCAATCGCGTGTTTTCGATTATCACTTCTACATCGTGACGTCCTGTAGTCTGTTGCGTTCCGCTCAATCGCCAGCAGCCCGATGACTTCTGTGTCGCCATGTTGCTGCCAAGCAACAGCCAGAAGCGTTTACAGGTATTTTACAAAAAGAAAAAGAATCACGATCGAGATCTGGGTCGTTACCCGAAAGGAAGCGGTACGTGCCCGCGCCGGAGTAAACAATTACTTTTACTTCGGACTGTACTGGTACGTACCCGCGCCGAAGTTTATATGGGATACGTTACCAAAATAGCGTGACCGCCAATCACACTTACGCACTGACACAAAAATGATACGTGCAACATACGCATACAACGTTCGACACAAACGTGGTCAACCTCTGCAGGAAGGCAGCGCTTCCTTACCATTGATGCTTAGCAAGAAACGGTATCTAAATGAGCCGATGCTCTCACAGATGCGCTTGGGCTCTGTGTCCCGTGGGAATCGAACTTCCCCCGTACCGCTAACCACGAAATGGTACTCGAGCTAGCCTACTACGTTTTCGGCATCAACTCGTCTAATTCCGTCACTCAGTGGAGAGAACCGACTACGCAACGGTTACTCCACCACGCCGACTGACCTTATTTTTCCGACAATCGTCCCGATGCCGAGCTGAACCCAGGTCCGTTGGATGATGGCGTTTGCTCGTTCCCCACGGCGTCCGGTGCGCGGCTGGCTCCTTCAGGAAAAGTTTCCACGAGGTCTGGTTGGCTTCGAAGGCGCAAAACGCGCGATCAGCCACAGATCGTCCACCGGAGGAAATCGGAGAGTCCAACAAACAAGCTCAAATCCGTTCGAACAAGCGCATCATCCTGCCGACAACGCCAAGTTTCTGTCAGAGATTTTCTCGGACAAAGTTAAAGAAATGACTCGACACACAGGAAAATTGTCTTGAATGTCGGCGGGAGCGGATCTCTGAGAGCGAACGGCGGTTTAGTTGCTCCGATGATCACACCCTCGAGCTTCCTTCCCGCCAATTCAGACTTTTATTGTAACATACAAGGAAAACACTGCCCCCGACATTTGTATACCGCACCCCCGGTCCGGCCCCTGGTAGTGATTGGTTACCTGTTTTTAAACATTGAACCACCAGTACGTTGGCGCCTTTTCTGTCTGGTCTACATCGAATTAACATGTTGCAGACTTTGCGGATGGCCAATGTCAGCTGGGCGCGACGGGTGTTCTCAACTCGTCTTTTGTTGTTCAACCGCTGTTCCCGAATTATTCATTCCCTTTTTGTGACCGAGTTTCGCCCTC